AAGTATTGCAATTGTGATGTATTTTAATGTGTGATATGATGAGGCTGTTGACGAACTGTGGTTGTTTTTTAAATTAATGAAATTTTTTTTAACTATCTGTTATTTAAAAAAAAATTTTTTTTTAAAATCCACAGAAACGTATTTTAATTGATAAATAGAGACAATGAATGACTGAAACCCAGAAATTAATTTTGATTTGAAATAGATTATAATACCATTCATGCATCATAAGTAATTTATGATTTACTATGTAATGCATTTTTAGGCAAAATAATAGACTTGCTGATAATAAATTCAACAGTTTGATTAATAAAGGCATGAGTATGGAAAATGCTTTGTACACTACATTTTCATCACAAAATTACTGAAATGTATGTTATAAATGTCGATGCTGAGCTTAAAATGGATTTTTTTACTCTACAGACAATGTTTATATTCAAGTGAACTGGTGGTCGGTATTCGAAAATAAACGTTGACTTTTTCGGAAATAAACAAAACTATGAAACACGAACAACAAGCTAAACGCTTTGGAATAAAATTTCGTCACTTCAAACACAACTTGACTTGTGCCGGCTTTATAAACGGCAACTAGACTTTTCCTAGAGAGAAATAAAATAACGCTTAAACATTTTATTTGCAGGTGCTGCTTCTTGAGGCCGGAGGAGAAGAGCCAGAAGTAGCAGACGTTCCATCGTTCCCGCCTGTGGTGGTCCGATCAAGCCTGGACTGGGGATACCAAACACAGCCATCCCCCCACAGCTGCTTAGCGCGAAGAAACAGAAGATGCGCTTGGTACAGAGGCAGAGTGATGGGCGGAAGCTCCACCATCAACTACCTGATCTACATCAGAGGCCATCCGCGTGACTACGACGAATGGGAGGAACTAGGCAACCATGGTTGGTCCTACAGCGACGTCTTGCCCTACTTCATCAAGTCGGAGAGAAACGAAAATCCAGAGAAAATCGAGCCTCAGTACCATGGATTCGACGGCTATCTCCCAGTGGGATATTTTCCCTATCAGGATCAGAACACGCTTGCCCTTGTGGAAGCCTACCAGGAGCTGGGCCTGCCCTACCTGGATCAGAACGCTGAGCAGCTGATCGGTACCATGCTAATGCAGCATACCACTGAGGATGGCCGCAGGGCGAGCAGCAACGTTGCGTTCATTCGTCCGATCAGGAACAAGCGCGAGAATCTGACCGTGCAGACCAAAGCGCACGTTTACCGAGTTTTGATTGATCCAACGACCAAAAAGGCGTATGGCGTGGAATACCGGAAAAACAATAAACTGCACACCGTGCTCGCAAGGAAGGAAGTAATTCTATCCGCAGGATCAATTAACTCCCCAGCAATCCTGATGCTGAGTGGAGTGGGACCAGCCGATCACTTGAAGCAACACGGGATCGAGCTGCTGAAAGATTTGGCTGTGGGCCACAATCTGCAAGACCACACAACTATAGATGGCGTGGTGTTTGCACTCAGCAACCAAACAGCCACTACAGTAACTGACCAGCAACTACAGCAGGACGTGTTTTACTACAGAGACACGCATAGAGGCCCACTGTCCTCCACTGGGCCTCTACAGGCCAATGCATTCGTCCAAACGAAGTATGAACGCGAACCTGGCCGGCCGGATATTCAGTTCTCCATCGATTCCACCAATGTGGAGAACTTCTACACTGATCCGATTCTCACCGCTGAAACCGCCGTCCTTCCATTGTCCTACTATGACGGTTTGATGGTGAGGCCCATTTTGCTCAACCCCCAAAGTCGCGGAGTGATCAGACTCAACGACTCTGATCCAATTAATGGACTGCCCGTGATCCATGCGAATACATTTTTTGAAGAAATCGACCTGCGGAGGATAGTGGAAGGAGTGAAGCAGTCACTCAACCTGCTAAGGACCAAAGCGCTACAGCATTTAGGGGCTGCTTTGGTCACCACTCCTCTGCCAGCGTGCTCGCATGTGGCGTTCGGCACTGATGAATACTGGGCTTGTATTGCTCAAGCGTACACAACAACCATTTTCCACCCGGTTGGAACCTGCAAAATGGGCCCTAGCAAGGACCCAAAGGCTGTGGTGTCTCCGGAACTGAAGGTTTACGGTATCGAAAATCTTCGGGTGATCGATGCCTCAATCATGCCGAAAATAGTGAGAGGAAACACCAACGCCGCAGTGATTATGATCGGAGAAAAGGGCAGCGACTTGGTTAAAGAACGTTGGCTGAAGCAAGATCAACATGATCCGGCCTACTATGGCTTTGATTTCGACAGTTTTTCGGATAAATAGGTCTACTGGACTCGATTGCGGTGTAAATTTCTTTGGTGCAAGTGAGGACATGTGCCAGGTGGTTCTTGAACAATCAACGGTGCGAAGCGTGGAAGGTTGGGACGCAGGAGAACCTTCAGCCTCTGGGCTTTGGATCATGAGAGGTGGCAAAGTTCCACTTGAATTCATCATGTTTTGTAACAACTAGTTTAAAGTTTCCAATATTTATTTGTTAAAAATTGTTGTTTGGGACAGTCATCTGATACATCCAGAATATGTTTACAATTCAATGCCTAACTGTTCTTTTTAATTTTTTACATTTTTATATATTTTTTTGTTAAATATGCCATGCTAGATGCAAATCATTTTCTACTTTGTCAGCTTTTTTATGTTTAAACCTTTTCCGTTGCTCCTGGGTGTAATTTGTGCTAAATATATTTATTTGTATATAAAATCAGTTGCTTATTTGCTGCAATAGTCATTGCTATGAAAACTTCGTGTGCGAACGCACCATTCAACATCCACATTGTGTTCCATTTTTAGACAACATGGTTGAAACAGGCGTAAAACATTGATGTATTCGATTTTTTTCAAATTCTTTATGCTCTTTTTTAGACAACGCAAAAGCGCGATGTCGCGAAGCGGAAAGCTCAACTTTGAATAGTCATAATCATTATTTCCACGCATATCAAAGATTGAGACATCAAAAACAAGTGGATCATTTTTTCCAGTTTTTTGCAGTTGCGTTTTTCAATTTTGTGTGTAATTTGTGCTTAATATATTTATTTGTATATAAAATCAGTTCCTTATTTGCTGCAATAGTAATTGCTATGAAAACTTCGTGTGCCAATGCACCATTCAACATCCACATTGTGTTCCATCTTTAGACAACATAGTTGAAACGGGCGTAAAACATTGATTTATTCGATTTTTTTCAAATTCTTCATGCTCTCTTTTAGACAACACAAGAGCGCGATGTCGCGAAGCGAAAAGCTCAACTTTGAATAGTCATAATCATTATTTCCACGCATATCAAAGATTGAGACATCAAAAACAAGTGGATCATTTTTTCCAGTTTTTTACAGTTGCGTTTTTCAATTTTGTGTGTAATTTGTGCTTAATATATTTATTTGTATATAAAATCAGTTCCTTATTTGCTGCAATAGTCATTGCCTATGAAAACTTCGTGTGCGAATGCACCATTCAACATCCACATTGTGTTCCATCTTTAGACAACATAGTTGAGACGGGCGTAAAACTTTAATGTATTCGATTTTTTTCAAATTCTTCATGCTCTCTTTTAGACAACGCAAGAGCGCGATGTCGCGAACCGAAAAGCTCAACTTCGAATAGTCATAATCATTATTTCCACGCATATCAAAGATTGAGATATCAAAACCAAGTGGATCATTTTTTCCAGTTTTTTGCAGTTGCGTTTTTCAATTTTGTGTGTAATTTGTGCTTAATATATTTATTTGTATATAAAATCAGTTCCTTATTTGCTGCAACAGTCATTGCTATGAAAACTTCGTGTGCGAATGCACCATTCAACATCCACATTGTGTTCTATCTTTAGACAACATAGTTGAAACGGGCGTAAAACATTGATTCATTCGATTTTTTTCAAATTCTTCATGCTTTCTTTTAGACAACGCAAGAGCGCGATGTTGCGAAGCGGAAAGCTTAACTTCGAATAGTCATAATGATTATTTCCACGCATATCAATGATTGAGACATCAAAACCAAGTGGATCATTTTTTTCAGTTTTTTGCAGTTGCGTTTTTTAATTTTCTTCAACATCACATTTATCGCTCTGTTTCTTGCAGAAAGGTTTTCCAAATCTTCAATGCAACTGCCCAAGTTACTACTCAATAATTATATAAATTCGCGCGCGACTAATTTATCTGCAATTAATGTTGAAAAGTGAATGAACGAGCAATTTCGCCGGGTTTCCTAATGCATTTATTTACAATGATGGAAATATTAGTTGCAGAGCGGAATAAACCGTCAACTTTTCGGCACGCTTTACTAACGAGCGCAATTATTTAAATTATGCTTTTATTGCAATTACTAACTACAACACTGTGTTCAAAGCAGAGACACAATTTGCAGCTGTTATTGAAGTATTAAAAAAGCAAAAGTAAATAATTAAGATAAGAAAGTAGAAGACAAAAATAAGTTTTTTGGAACGTCGTCTAAAAAACTCGAAAATCAGACAAATCCCGGCAAAAACTTTTACCATTTCGACTAATTTATTTACATTAAGCAAACTAACTTTTCCATTCTAGAACGTTGCTCGAATCGGTTCTCCCACTCGCACCCATGGGAATCAAAAGAAATGCAGCATAACATGAACGTCGCTATGTTCCAACTTGATACCTTCAGCGTTTCAAGCGTGACAACGTTTGAAAAACTTTTCGCAAATATTTCAAATTACCGAAAAGCCCGTTTGATTATTTGGTTCTATCAAGTTAAAAAATTATTTGGTTTTCTAGCTATAAAAAAATATAAATTTCTTAAAACGCATAAAATGCTTTTCACTAATGTGTAAAGGCAAATGTAAGGACTGAACCATGTGCAAATCACCAAGCGAAAATTTACGTAACTTAATGAACATGAAAATTGAATACTGTGAACAACGCAGACTTGCGGTAATTGCTTCCGCCTGAATATCTCGAAAAAAGTGCAAAAAGTTTAGCTGAAAAACCAACCCGAATAAATTGAAAATATATCTGCGCTGTTTAATTCGATACTACTTGTTTCAAGTGCAGGAACGTGTTTGTTTCCTTGTTAATTAGCGTACATTTTGCCGTTTGGATAGAAAATAAAAAACGTGCACTGATCAATTATTAATTTAATTATAATTTTTCACTTTACTGAGTTTGCGTTCGGCCTAGAAAAGCTGCCGGCATCTGGTGGCTATCAAACACGCTAAACAGTCGCCAACTTTATAAGCGGTTCTGTGTTGGAGTAGTAGATAAAGCCAGTTTCCATAAAAACGAGATGAAACAAATTGAAAAAGTCAATGAAAGAAGCGAAAAAAATCGGTTCAAGAATTCTTGAAAGCACGAATTTAATTGATTTTATGATTTTTAATCACCTTTGACAGAAAGGCGAATGTTCTTCAAAAATAATCAATTCCAAAGGCTTCTATGAAAAGGCGACTGAACTAATCTACAGTTTTCTACTATTTAGGAATGAATGCAAATCTCTGGAGGAAATAGGGGGAATTGATCCAGCTTTACAACCTTACTCTCATTACATCTGCTGTATGCATCACACTGATTTCAACTGGAAAAGTTTGCAGAAATCAATAGGTTTTTTAACTGAAAAAATCGCGCCCACTTTGTGCTTTTGCTTGCCCCAAAAAATATATTTTTCAATTAATCGACTTCAGTCATTGCACCTGTTTTATTTCCGTTAATACTCAGCTACATCGGCAAAGTGAGCTAAACTATTTTCCCCATAGAAAAATCGCTTCTAATGGAAGCGTATCGTAAACAATTTGAGAATGCAGTATTGATGCTGTGGAGTAATAAAGAACACACCCCACATTATTTCGGCCCCGGGAGAGAAGGGCATAAGTGAAATATCATGTTCTGTTTTCCTCCTGATTTCCACCGCTGACAAGGCTACTTTCCCTCATGTAGCTGACTTCAGGTTTAGGGATGCTTCGAACTTTATCTTCAATGGGAAAATAGCCCTTTTTTTCTTTTGGTAAGAACAGATTGGCTCTATTGGCTTCAGTTGTTAAACGGGCGTTAAACATTGCAAATTTTAAAAGGGTTTTAGTTCACAATTTCCTTTCGCATCAACCAACACAGTTAACATTCAGTTTGACTATAAGTGGGGCCTAAAACTAGAAATGTTTGTCATGCTATCAATAGGATTATCGCGGTTTACGCAAAATTTTCAATTTGTCAATTTCTGGTTTGAAGATTCGGTTGATTTCTCAATAGGCAGTTTTTTAATGATTTCTTTGAGATTTTTCAAAAATTTTTAATTTTTCTTGTGATTTCTGATAACTACAACAAAAATTATCTCGCTTGATCAATGACAAAGTATTTAAAATCAAACAGACAAAAGCGTACAAAGTCTATAAATAATAAAACTTATTTAAAGTAAAATGTGTGTCATACTCCATCAAGTTAAGAAAAATAATTTAAGTTTGACCAATACGGACGACTTTGCAAACGAATCAACTACATGAAAACGTCAACTTTAGGAAAGTTAGGCAAAATAAAACTACTGAATTTCAGGGTCATTGAGTTGAACTTTTACAAAAAATTAGCTTTAGACAGTTTATTATAATCCGCAATTTTTCGCTCTTATAGCACTTAAACTACCCAAAAAATGTGAATCACATTGTATATTTAACGTTAGCAACAATACAGTCTTTAGCATAAAACAGCAATTTGCCTTAATAAAATTACAAGCATAATAACATTTAATTTAAAAAATATTAAAAAAAAAATGTATGTCATACTCCATCAAATTACGAAACCATTTAAGTAAGCTTTCTGGACATGATTTTGTCAACAAATCGAATACAAAACATTAGGCAGGTTAAAAAGAAAACTGCTGAATTTAGAAGTTAACCAACTTAGCAGAGAGGTTATCATAAATTATGTTTTGTCGGTTTATTAAAATCCCCAATTTCGCGCTCTTATAGTACTTAAACTGAGCAAATAACATTAATCAGGTCATATAGCTGTCGCTAGAACAATCCAGTTTTCAGCATAAAACAGCAATCCGCCTTAATAAAATTACAAGCATGAAAACATTTAAAGTAAAATGTGCGTCATGCTCCAGCAAGTTATGAAACCATTTAATTAAATTAACAAAATACACCATTTTATAAACAACTCGAATAAAAAAACATTAGGCAGGTTTAGAAGAACGAAAACTGCTAAATTTCGCAGTTTTGCAGAACGTTTATGAGAAACGCACTTTTGCTTGTTTGTTAAAATCCCCAATTTTCGCTCTTATAGTACTTAAACTGGCCAAGTAATATGAATTACACTGTATATTTGACGTTAGCAACAATAGTCTTTAGAATAAAACAGCAATTCGCCTTCATAAAATTGCAGGCATAAAATCATTAAAAACATATTTAAAGTAAGGTGTGTGTCCTACTTCATCAAGTTATGAAACTGTTTAATTTAGTTAACGAAATACATGATTTTGTGAACGAATAGAATAAAAAAACTTTTACAGGCAGGTTGTTTAGCAGATGTTTATGAAAACTGAGCCTTTACCTGTTTAGTAACATTGCCAATTTTTCGCTCTTATAGTACTAAAAATGCCCAACTAATATGAATCACATAGTATATTTGAAGATGAAAACAACAATAGTCTTTCCGCCAGCAATTCGGCCTGAAAAAATTACAAGCATAAAAGATT